ATGGCCTCAAGCTGCGTCAGGGGAGGTTCAGCTTGGAGATTGGGCAAAATGTCTGTGCTGAGAGAGTGGTCAGGCCTTGGGCCAGGCTGCCCAGGGCAGTGGGGGAGTCCCCATCCCTGGAGGGGTTCAAACACCGTCTGGGTGTGGCCCTTGGGGACACGGTTTAGCAGACATGGGGGTATTCGGTGGATGGTTGGACTTGGTGACCTCAGAGGTCTTTTACAACCTTAATGATTCTGTGATTCTAAAATCCTGGCTATGAGGCCCTGGCTACCGGGCCCGGAGAGGGCAGGGAGCTGAGCCACCGCTGGCTTTCTTAGTGCTTAGAAATGTTTTCTGGAGATCAGCATTCCCCAGACAGGCCCAGACTGGTAGATGTAGTTTCATTAGTGCTCTGGGGAGAAAAATCCCGTGGTGTCTACGCTCCTAGAGCCTCTCTGTACACCTACAGCACGCACTGGCTGTACGGCACAGCGGCTCCCGAGGTGGCTTTATCCCCTGTCCCGTGGTTACGGTGTGATGAAGTGCTGTGGGCTGACTCACCTGTGGATTCAGAAGGACACCGGTGTGCCTCTTATGGCCTCTGGGCCGAGCCGTCGGTTTGAGCCGTCTGAGGAGCCACGAGCGCCGAGAACGTTCTTGAGGATTTCCTTCCCGTGGTGCGTCAGCGAGGGGAAACGGAGAAACAAAGGAGGCAGGGTCATCCCCAGCGTCAGCAAATCGGTCTGAGCTCTGGCTTTAAACTGCATTTCTCAGCTTTTTTGTGCAATGCTCAGGTGTGAAATGCTCTGGCTGTGAAGTCCGGGTGACCTTCCAGGGCTGAAGGGATGAGAGCTTGTGCTGGTCCTCCCTCCTCTGGTTCTGCTGGAAATCCCAGCAGGGCTGCTGCTCGTAAAGACTTTCAGGTGCCGAAGAACCAGGTGTTGCAGTAGCTGTGTGTTCCCTGCTGTAAATGTGGGTTGAATTTCAGTGCTTGCTAAACAACTGTATTTTATTTACTACTCAGCTTTTACCTTTTCAAAGGAGATCGATGGTCTTAGAGCTCAGACCTAAGTTAAATAAGATGGAGTGAGCAAATGAAGCATTTCCAGGTGGAGCTGTAACTCACAGGTGTATCCTCAACACGCGATTCCCCCGTGGAGCAGAATTCCCCACTGCTGAGCGAACCAGCCCCTGCGAGCGCTGAATAGCTCTGCCCTTCGTGTTGCAGAGAGGAGGAAACCTTGGGGGGGAACTTGCTAAGTGGGGCAGGAGACGGGGCACAGCGACCAGTGTAGGTGGGAGATTCGCCTGTTAAATACGGGATCCTCGCCTGCTCTAAAAGCAGAACGGTGTTTGTAGGTGCATTGCCTGACGTGGTGAAATTTCCCGGTGCGCAGCTCGTGCGTGTGCTTTTAATAGGTGCTGTTGTCATCTCCCTCGTGGGAGAGTCTGAGGAGGGAGAGGGCAGGAGGATTAGCTGGAGCACACGTGCGATGCAAATCGAAACGGTTTGCTGCCTGGTGCTTCAACAAACAGGTTACTGAGATGAAGGGAGGTGATAAGCAGAACGATACGGTTTGCCCAGGGGAGGTCAGAGAAGCAATTGCGTGTGCCCGCAGCGGTGAGCTGTCCCCGTCCCGTTGGGCTCAGGTCTGAGTCACAGAATCACAGAATCACAGAATAGTAGGGGTTGGAAGGGACCTCTGGGGGTCATCTAGTCCAACCCCCCTGCCGAAGCAGGGTCACCCACAGCAGGCTGCACAGGATCTTGTCCAGGCGGGGCTTGAAAATCTCCCCAGAAGGAGACTCCACAACCTCCCTGGGCAGCCTGGGCCAGGGCTCCATCACCCTCAGAGGGAAGAAGTTCTTCCTCATGTTCAGACGGAGTCAGTCTTACGTTACAACTTCACAGGTGCCCCTGCGGTCGGTTGTTGTGAATTCTTCCGAAGCTCCGAGGAGCTGGAGGTCGTAACGTCAGTTATTTATATCAGTCTGAGCTTCCGTAAGAGCTTGTCTTTCCTTTAATCCTTCTTTGCCTAAATGAACACATCAGGCTCAGTGACGGTGGTTTTTGGCAGGGTAATTTCACTCTTAGACTTGCTGAAGAGTTTGCTGCTGTGGATCTCTGCTGCAGACCAGCTGGGATGTCGTCTCCACGGCTGCGGCAAACCCCGATTTCAGGCAGTACCCCGAGCTCTGCCACGCTGCAGTTAGGTGAGCTGCGTGCTCCACCAAACGACCGGCCGCTCCCGTCCCATCTCCTCTCAAGACCAGCTGCCTGGCTGTCTGTGTTGGCTGGGAGAGTTGCAGGGGTCAGGCTGTGGTTCCTCCAGGAGAAGACCACTGCTTGGAAGAATCTGGCACATGGGCAGCCACTGGCGTTACGTTATCTCCTCCACAGGTTAAATCTCCTGTGTGTAATCATGCCTAGCAGAAGACTATACTCTTAGAGAAGACTGCAGTTGGAAGAGCTTCATGACTTGGTGATGTTTCTGCTGGGAACGGGGTGGTCCCAGGCCTGGGAGGAAGGGTGCTGGAGCCAGGGTCGTGTTATACAGTCTTTACAGTGGTGTCTTGTGGATCTGCTCCTTGTAGCACCTGATGTGTGGTGAGTGTGGCCAGCAGGTCGAGGGAGGGTCTCCTCCCCCTCTTCTCTGCCCCAAGTGAGGCCCCATCTGCAGTGCTGTGTCCAGTGCTGGGCTCCCCAGTTCAAGAAAGATGAGGAGCTACTGGAGAGAGCTCAGCGCAGGGCTACAAGGATGAGGAGGGGACTGGAGCATCTCTCCTAGGAGGAGAGGCTGAGGGAGCTGGGCTTCTTCAGCCTGGAGAAGACAAGGCTGAGAGGGGACCTAATATATACTTACAAATATCTGCAGGGTGGGGGTCAGGAGGATGGGGCCAAGCTCTTTCCAGTGGTGCCCAGCAACAGGACAAGGGGCAACGGGCACAAAGTGAAGCCG